TACCAGAATTATACCTTCTCTAAGACAAAATATAAATAGCCAAAATTAAATGGTTTCTTTTGGCGATTCTCTTGGACCGATATTTCTTTTATAGCAGTAAGGTTCCACGGATTCCCCTTTTTCAAAAAATCCACCTTTTTTTAGGCAAAAGATAAACCTACTTCCAATTTTATCTTTTAACGATTACAGAACTTCGCCTTCTGTAGGACAAATATTTCTTTTATTATTATAGTCGATGATTCACCTGGCAAAATCCAAGAATTCGCATAGTCAACCTTCCAAATTTTCCTATCACTGCATTCTTATTTAAATAAATTGTTGTTTGAAATACGTAGTCTTGGTGGGGTATTATTCTAATTTAAAAGTTGATATTGTAGTCGGTTAATTTTGTTTAAGTTACGTATAGAGCAACACTCTGTCTGCAGCTTATTCGCAGAACATACCGGTCCTTATAACCAGAACCAATGTGCCTATCATTTTTTTATAAACGATGCAGTGATATAATTTATGCAATAAGATAATTTTATTCCCGAACAGTTGATTTTATATAAAAAAAAACATATGCATCAAATGACAAGTACATTTTTTAAAAACCTATGATTTCCTTATCCTCCCTCACACTTTGCTCTGACTGATCATAAATTGTCTTAAACTTTCTGCGACCTTTGCGCTTGCAGATTATATTAAGGTACATTGTATTTCGTGGGACAACCCATTTAGCGTGCATAGACAGGCATAGACCAGTATGTACAGGACCATATATGTTTATTCAAAGTAGTGGAAATAGGGTTTCTGTTTAGGTGGCCCAATAATGCGTATCTAAAAGTTCTTTATACATTTTTTATGGATTTATTATGCTACACGTTCTGGAAGGTATTCAAGCTCCCTGCCCCTAGGAAACACAGAACCAGCAAAGAAGGACAAAAGCTGAAGTTTGAGTAGAGGATTTAATGTAAATATATCGAGTTAAAAACATAGAAGATATAACATACATTTTATCCATGGGCCTACTATTTATCACCAAGTATATTCAGATCATCCACGAGTTGCACAATTTATCAAATATATTATTAAGATCACGTTCCACTATATATTATTAAAGTTTATAGCGAACCTCAATGGCATCGTTTTTATTAAGATTGCCACGAAACTTAATCTGATTTAAAGACACGTATAGAGAGGTCTCGTTGACGTCACGCGAGTGTTGGTTACGCCCACTTGCCGCCATCTTGGTAGACACCTACAATTGCTAATGCTAGGCCTATAATATGTTTTAACAATTCACAGTGTAAGTTGTCGTATTATGACACGCTAGACACAATTTCCAAACAGAGATACCTATCCAAAATATCGATGATAGATAAAACTGGACCCTACTCCCTATAGCACACAGAAAGATAAATCGAGCAGTCATCCCGGCCCCAAGTTCACAAAGCATTCTCAGACTTAAATTACGAATTTACTCAAAATTATTCGTCTTATTTTAACTAAAACATAGCCCTTTATAAAACTTTTGTTGTTTTAACGTATTAAATACATCAATAAGAAACCACGTGCAAAGTTTTGTGTTTCTAGATCAAAAATATTTCTCATAAACAGTGACTGAAAGTTGAGTAAATTCTTAACTTAAATCTGAGAATGCTTTGTGAACTCGCGGCCTGATTTATTTCCAAGCGTGCCATACCCTGACATAGTCAACTACCTCGTATACACACCAAGTAGCTATACATCAGGGCCCTGTTTCTCGGAATCTTAACTAAAGATTAGATACTTCAATTTTGATTGGCTAATCACTAAAATTAATCTAATATTATCCAATCAAATTACTAAAATTGAGATTTTATCTTAGTTAAAATTTCGTGAAACAGGCCCCAGATGACCTAAAATCGTTTAAAGGCCTTGATGGTTACAATCAGATTGTGTGTGGATGGGTCAGAGAGGTTGTATCAACAGAAATAACAGAAATAAACAACTTGAAAGTTATCAGTGCAAAGGTAAGGTATTTCAAATTGGCTAGTTTAGTAGATTATGGTCTATTTCCAAAATCAAACGGGAACAATGGACTAGTGACTCAGTGAATAAGGCTTTGGCTTGATAAAGAAGCCCGAGTTGAATCCATGTGTTGGCTGGGATTTTCCATCGTAGCCTGCGATGTTTGTTAGATTAGGTTCCGATTTGCTGTTCGACTTCCATTCCTGATTTAATCATGAAATGGATAATCGTCCGACTTTAGTAATGATGATCGAGGCTAGGCCGAAAATTCAATCGCTAAAATCTCGGTTCCGAGTTGTTCAATTTTACTGAATTTTTCAGCAAATTCCCTTTACTTTATCTAGTTTTTAACTATTATAGTCAAAACTGCCAGCTCTTTATCTCTCCTATAATATATCATATATCTTTAATTGATTCATAAGAAGAATGCTTCAGCAGTAATACACCCCTCTATTCATTTCTATGTTATAGAACAATTTATACAATTTATTTTGCTTTTCGAACTTAAATTTCGAATAACGAGACAGAATGTTTTTCGTTATTCGTTTGTACACTTTTCATGTTGTTGACGAAAATTTAATCACTTACAAAAGCAGTTACCATGGCATTTCTATGCGATAGTGTATCTCGCCGAGACCCCCCCCCCCCTCGTAAGATCATCAGAATAAACCATAACGTTTATCCATGGTCCTTTAAGTGAGCAATGATTCCATAATTTATCATAAAGTGTTTATAAAACGATTATCATCAGGTTTACCAAGGTTGTCAACATTACCTACAATTTATAATAGGTTTTTTTAATTAAAAGCATTCTCGCTCACAGTATTTCTCATATTGTTCAGTGAAATCACCAATTTTCCTTCCTACTTACTATTATTCTTTGCATTCATTCGTGATCTGATTACTTACAACAAAGTTTATTGAAATCATCCATTATCCCTCTTTTTATTGTAAGGTTTATCAAGTTCACAAATGATCCCACAAAGGTTTTCTTTAAGATCATCTATGATTTCCGGCATTTATCATACAATCAGGTTATTGAGATATTTTGGATTATAACAAATTTTATTGAGATATCCAGTGCCCCCACCCAATAAACAAAACTTTAGTCGTGGCTCATTAAAGGGGCATTATGTAAGATTAGATAAAGAGCTGGAAGTTTTCGCTATGATAAACTAAACTTTAACCGTGGCGCATTAAAGATGTCTTTAGTCTGTAGATCAACGATAGTCCCTCTATCGCAAACATTAAAATTATTCATGGCCTCACTAGGTAAAATAAAGTTTAAAGATACATTATGGGAGATTTTAATAGAGAGTTGGCAATTCCTGCTATAACAGTTCCAAAATAGATGATGAAAGAAGAATATATTGAAAATTTCAGTCAAATTACTTTATTCTGAACAAAGTTATCACCATTGTAATTTTTGACTAGAAATAGGAGTCAACCTCTTCAATGTCTCCGGGAATGGCCGATCGTTTGATTGACAGGCGTTAACTCCACCTACATAATCTCGATTACCAAGTAACGTTTTCAATGGCTGTGGTACCGTTAGCCTATTCGGTTTGAGACGGGGTTGCAATTCAAAACGTATCACATTTATTTTTAGTACAAATTAAAAATAAGACTTTTAATATATAGATAAGAAGCGAAAGTTTGAAAGGAATGGAACAAATCAATGAGGCATAATTATAGCCGACTTCTTGTTAGCCTGCGTGTACTCTTGCACTGTAACTGGTAGGCCTATGTAACTCCCGAAGCAGACAAATAGGAAACAGTGATCAAATGGGGCTGCAATTCAACTGGGGTGATGTTATCTGCGATATTTATCAATTTCCATAATTTTTCTGTAAACGCAAGTGACAAAAGAGTGTATAATACCGACCACCCTGCACGTTTCAAGTCAGTAGCTTGAAGCGTATATATGGTATTAGTGTCAGTGGCTTGTGGCACGAAGTAACAGTATATTGTCGCATACATAATATATTATGTCAACGCTTGGGCTCCAAGCGTGTTAGCATATTAGACCTGTAGACTCAGTGGAATGTACGCGTCATCAGAGCGGATCCAGGGGTTGGACCATGGGGACCGGTCCACCCCCTTAACAATAGAAAGTGTCCCTGTAAATAAAAGAGGGCATCCTTATCAGAAAAAGGGCACCTGTGATGTCAGAATTTCAAAAAAGGGCACTTTTCTTTCGGATTAGGGTTAGGGTTAGGGTTAGGACACAGAAAAGAGAGAAAAAACAGAAAAGAAAAAAACAATCGAAACTTACCGATTCCATGATGGAAAATACCGCCAAAATATGTCTCCAAAGCATTCATTGGTTATCAAAGCGCCAATTAAATCTATCGTTGCAAGTTCATGCCTAGTCACCTCCATCCTAGTTCCAAGCGTTGACATAATATATTATATCGCCCAAGCGTTGACATAATATATTATGTATGCGACAATATACTGTTACTTCGTGCCACAGGCCACTGACACTAATACCATATATACGCTTCAAGCTACTGACTTGAAACGTATCGCCTGTACCGACATCCAAACTCTCATTTTAACCACAACTAAACATAATATCAAGGCCGTATAAAAATCGAACTTTCAATCAAATTGACTGACATGCGGCCTCGCTTTACAACGGCCTCGCTTCGTACACTCTATCATTTAGCCTCGATCTAAAATTTCCGGGAGTATGACGTCAACGTAACGGTTAATCTCCGCTTACGACGCCATTTAAAAATTTAATCAATCAATGAAATCCTTTTTAAATCCAAGCCATCCGTGGGTCTACAGAGTTGATTTTGTGCTTGTTGTGTAAATAGAGATCTAATTTGTAATTTCTATTACATCTGAAGCCTAAATAAAGACTTGCAATGATGAGATTTAGCTCTTGTATAATGTATGTTTAAGATCACGAATGGCTATTTATACTACATGTAAAGTTCATGAAGATCATTAATGATCCCACAGTACCTCATAAAGTTTATTAAAACAACCCACAATCCTTTTATTTATCACAAAGTTTATTAAGATCATCAATGGTCCTTGGTTATGAAAATCATCCATGGTCCTCCCTATTTATCATAAAGTTTATGCATTGCCCTGCTTTTTATCATAAAGTTTATTAAGATCCTCCATGGTTTGTGGTAATTCCTTGCCCATCGTTTCTGGTAAATATAAAATGGTAATTGTCACGATTAAACAACATGCTCCAAATATAGCTCCCGGTGCCCATGGTAGATTTGCAGCCTGAAATATAAAAGGACATTTTAATTAATACCGTGGTTTTACTTCAATACACGGGAGAGTAATTTAAAACTTTGTTAGCTATATTCAATTGGGTGCAAATATTATCCCGTTCATAATAAAGTATATTACCAAAAGACTGGAAAATGGTGCTAACATTCCACCGATCCTGGCAGCAGTAGAGGCTGTTCCAAATGATATATTCCTAGAGAGAAAAATTATTAGTATTGAGTATTACGATCAGACGCCATTCATTTGTTAAACCATATTATTACATAATTATTAACAATTGTAGCAGATTCTCTTAATATTTTGTTTTGTTTTTTTCTGCGCCATAGACATTTTCCATAATTCAGCGCACACTTCTCTTAAAGCTCGACTTGAAAGACCATCCCATTGGTCAATCTCTTATATCAATAAGAACACAATTCATTTCGTCTGATTTGTTTGTTTACAAGTTAAATCGACTGTTGTGTTCGATTGATGTAATTGAAGTATTATTAGTAAATATATTATTTTCCTTTACCTTATATTTGTGGGGAAGACTTCCGGTGTGTAGATGAATATAACATTAAAAGAACCAGAAATACCCAGTTTACCAATTAACGAAAATATGGTGGCCGATATTGAAGCAGCCTCACTATCGTCTAAAACACAGACGAAAATAAAACGATAATACAGTTAAAGACTTTGTTACCTATAAATAATTTTAGTCGAGTCAAAGTAAGTGTTGATCTAGAACAAATTACAACAGACAGTTTCTTGGCCGCTAATTATACTTTGGGGCCTCTTATTTCGTTTATCTCCTGCCCCGGACGCTGCTCGGATCAAGACATATTTCAGTCAATAAACAGAACTTTATAGATTTTTGTGTGTAAAACTTAAGACGATACTATGAAAACAAAGAAGCGGGTGGGGGTGGCGATTTGCTTTATTGCCCAGAAAGGAGTCGAACGTGTTCAGTCAGGTAGTATCCATGTACTGACCTCTTGCTTCCACAGTTGCCAAACATGCACTACCTGGTTTTTAGGTCTGACAACTTGATTTTAAAAAAATCCAAAGTTAGTTGCTGGAACATCAACTTGAATGAAGCCACACGATACATGTACCTCCCGTTTGTGCATGCTACAGCTGGGCCAGACACAACATCCAGATTGTCTGGAATTGACAACAGTTTCTCTTTTAAAATAAGACGATTCGAACTTTCTGAAACACGCTGATAGCTTTGTCCAAAAATTAGAGAACTTTGGATATGTTGTGGAGGATGATCCCATGAACAAAATGGTACCTAGAAAACCTCTTTTGCCATTTGTTCAAGGTGGCCTTAATAGTAAGGGAGCTAGGTTCAGGGTGTCTCAAAAATCGCGTACAAAATTGCTACTATGCTAGATGAGTGGACAGCGGTGGCCGATGCTCGGAACCTTGATTCTTAAGTTGCGTTCCCCTTCCCATGGGGGTGGATGGTCCGACAAAACGTCGAAATTTCGAGTTTAATTCGACTTTTGCGAACAACAATAAACTTTCCTGCATAAGTCGACCAACTTCAGATTTCGCTAAAACCTCTGCTTAAGAAGACCCCCGACCCTTCCTTCCTCTCTTAAGGACACCCCCTTTACACTCCTGAGCGATGAGTTAATTCGACTTCCGCGTACAACATAATTTTTTTCGTTAAAAGTTTCACTATTGGTCCGCTAGAACACAACACTATATTAAGAACGCGAAATCCCCTTCTGTCCCGGATAAGAACGACAAAACGGGGTGAAATAACCAAAATTACGATTTAATTCGACTTTTCCGTACAACGATCAACTTTCGTGCATACGTCGACCAACCTTAGATATCATCAAAAACACTGCTTAAGAAGACCCACGACCTTTCCCTCCTCCCTTAAGAACGCCCCCTTTACCCCCCACTGAGAGATGAGTTAATTCGTATTCCGCGTACAACATTAATCGTTTCGTTAAAGGTTTCACTAATGTTGTACGCCGAAGTCGAATTAACTCATCTCTCAGGGAGGTAAAGGGGGTGTTCTAATGGGGGGGTCGGGGGTCTTCTTAAGCAGTGTTTTTGGCGACATTTGAAGATGGTCGATTTATGCACGAAAGTTGAATTAAACTCGAAATTTCAACTTTTTGTCGGACCCCACCCCCACCCCCATGGGAAGGGCACCCGCAACTTAAGAATCACGGTTCAGAGTATCGGGCACCGCTGTACACTCATCTAGCATAGTAGAAATTTTGTACGCAATTTTCGAAACAACCTGAACCTAGCTCTCTTACTATAAATTTACCGTAGATTGACTGAACTATTTCGACATGTAGTATAATTCAAAACAGCCATTACCACACTGTATACGTCTACCTACCGTACATTCTTAGTATTGTAGCACCTATTAGGCCGAATGCAGCAATTCCATGAAAGAGCATTGCCGTCTTCTTTCTCCCAATACTGTAAAATAGTACCCTTTAATCAATTTGAGGCGTAGTGGCTCAGTGGATAATAAACAATTAGAATAACCTGGGTTCGAGATTTCTTCAATTCGGCACCCATTTGTGAGGTACTAATAGGGACGCGTATCCAGTTGTTTGGTTGATACAATACAAATTAGGTTCACCATTATACATATCCAAACTTTCCTATGTCACTTTCCACATGAAACCATAGTAAGTAAATATCAAAATTGTATAAAATGTCTATGAGACAGTATAAATTTAGAGCCTTCAAACAAAATATGACAATTAGACTGCCTACGGTTCTCATATATTTTCCTTTCTTAATTTCTCATTTAACAATGTTACCGAACGGACTGTGCCCTTTGTTCGTATTTGGTCAAAGTTGTCCCTTAGATGCCTATGCAAATATAGACACATGGGAGCAGAAGGTGGATTTAATAATTCTGGGAAATTATATTTATTCGGACCGTTCTTTAAAATAATATACAAAAGCGATGAAATTAGAACATTATCATTTAATACCAAATTTACTTTAATCTCTAATGGTATCAGCTTTACTCATGTGCTCACATAAATATGAAGCATTGGTTGCATTCCCTAACGAACTGTCCGAAGACGCAAACTCGTATAATTTACGAAGCACCAGAAGCAATCCCATACCTGTCAATAGTAAACCAGTATATAAATGCAGAAGGAACTTCAACTAGGGCATTTAGGAAGAAATTCAGATAGATGTTACCAGCCAGGCTTGCAGAGGTGAGGAAAATACCATAATATGTCAGACTGTTTGTAAACCTGTAATGGAAATGAAATGGGGTTTAACGTCCTACTGTTCTGCCCCGACTGGGCTAATGAAGACGGGCATACGTCATAATGTGTGCTATGTGTGAACATTTGCCCGGGCAGCGGCACTATGGCCTACTCTTATATCGAATTCCAATCGCCAAGGGATCTTATACGTGCACGCTAACGTATTCACGAGACCTCGGTTTTTCACCGACAGGGGGAAACCGCGTGGGAAAATCCCGATGAAATATCTTGGTCAGTGCAGGCATCGAACACGCGACTCCCAGGCTAGCAAGCCACCGTCGCTCCACCTGCAATGGAACGTCAACATGGACAATGTATAAAACAAACATATACACGTACGTAATAAGTATAATGATCTCCTTTTTTAGAATTATCCCATAAGCAAATTAGGCAACCGCCTTCGGCCCATTCGAAAATCGAATTACATTGAAGAAACAGACCAAGGTAACCGTAATAAGACGGTCCGAATTGAATTGTATGGAGTGATAAGACGATCAGTCTAAGCCCGAGTGTCGGTGTTTCATTCCATGTTGTTTGACGTAAGATCTGATCCAGAAACATGTGTCGAAACCAACTTCGGTTCATATATACTGATTTGTTATAGTTTGATGGTGATGAATTCTGTACATAAGATAAACAATGATAAACTCATCGATATGTTTCTGAATAAGAAAGACCGGAAACTACCACCAAAGGCAATGGATAAAGACTGGCATCATTATTAGTCTGTCAAAACACCATGATTAAAGATACATCAAATTATCGTTTTACTTCTGTTCATGCTGTTTCTATGACTATGGTTTAATCAGTTTTAAAGAATACGTAAAAGTCATCTCGGTATCTGAACGCATCATTGATCATCTGGCATCATTGGTAATGGCTTTTTGGCCCCAGTTTGTGGTGTAAAATCTCAGTTCTGTGGTGTTTCTGCAACGTGATCTCGAGTTGCCATAAATATACGCCAAATTGGCCATGTATTGGTAGGAATTCTCAATAACACATACGAATACATAAATTAACAGTTAAAAATAAACTTACCACATGAACCATATTATAATCAATGTTATTGCCAAGCGTCTACTTTTAAATATATCCAAAAGTGTGTATTTTTCTACATGAACGACCCGATTCTCCACCCCTGCTTCTAACGCCTTCTTCTGTTTCCTATCGTCTCCGCCCGTATCTAATGTTACAGCCAGTAGTTTATCGGTTGGTTTATCAGTATCAACAGGTAACAACTCTTTCTGGTAGATTAACTATAAACAAGAGTTGCCAGAAAATAAAACGTAAGCCCAACAACCGCTTTATCTGTAGCTGGAAGGGCATTCTATCGGTTTCGAACCAAATTATCAGTCTCTTCCGGCAACCCTATCGTGTATTATATGAGCAGTTAAAGGGACAATAACACTCTTGCTGGCTTGAAAGCTCCAGAAAATAAATAATATCTCTATCTAAGTACTAGATGTTTAAGTGTCCTACCTGTTGTGTAAATTATCCATTACATCCAATTTTACTTGTCCAGAGGGTTCGAAAATATTTTTAAATTGAAGTTTCATTTGAAAAGGTTTACGTTAGACGTTTCAAACCATTATGTTGAATTTTTCAAAATTTTTAAATAAGGTGTGTTAAGATGAAATTTGTATCATCAATTAATTGAAATATTCTAAAATAGTACAATTTGTTGGCCAGAATAAAGATTGGGACATATTATTCAGTTACAACAAGAGTGGTATTGAGCCTTTAACGTAGCATTATCCCTAGATTACATTATGAGTTCATAATAGGAGATTAGATAAAGAGTTGATAATTCTCGCTTGTTAAAACCAGCGGTTGCCAGGCAAAATACGCACACAATTATCCATTTTTAAGTTTAATCATCCTAAATATCGCAGACTAGCAATGACATCGAGAAATGATTATGGTTTGGATAAGCTAATTAATGTCTAATTAATAATTTAGATAACAATTCAGGCCTAAAGAGAGGCCTGCAATAGGCAGATTTAGCTCTTGCATAATGTATGTTTAATTGAGACATTAATAAAGACGCGAGTCTTCGAATTTGTCTGCTATAAATAATACTAACCCATTTTCGACGAATCGCTCACTAAGTGGACATTCAAATTCCATGTTCTAGGCATGGGGTTGTAGATCATTTATGCCGTTTCATTGGCATAAATAATATTGATAGTGTTCCTCTTTCTGAGTAGTCGAAAAATCTAGAAATCTATAAAGTCGTGACATGCGAGACACGGACAATAGCTCTAAATAAGATTGATTATCCACTCGGTAGTGTCCCACTTAGAGTTCAGGCAACAATCCCAATATATTTAAGGGGGTGTGGGAGACAGATGGAAACAAATTGACCCCGAATCAAACATCTAGCGTTCTCGGATTGGAGCAACCTACAAGGCACCCCAGATCAGAACAGCAATTTTCTCTCACTCAGAATAATCGTCATTGGAAGGGGGATAACTCATATTTAATGCTATGGAGGACAAAACTACCTTCAATGGTTCGTTAACATTAATACCATTCATTTTTGCGGCCTTCTTCACCAGTCTGACAGTTTCTTCCAATCTGTTGTTAGCCACCAACCATCTTATAGATTCATCTGTTATCCTTGAAAAGTAAGAAAATTGGCATCACCCCATTGTGTAGTATTGTACGAAAAATGAAAATGAAGATATCGCAGCAACACTGTATAAATAAAGAACAAAAATCATCAGTACTGTGGGAGACAACCCACCACGAGGGAGAGAGAGAGAGAGAGAGAGAGAGAGGGGGGTCACAAACAATATAGATAGAAACAACCCGCCGACAATATACAAAACAAAATGAAATAAAATAGGCTTTAACGACCTACCGGTCTCCTTCGAATGTATAAAGAGCTAGGAAACCTTCCAATATTGTATAAAGAGCGAGACAATCCGCCAATAGCCTTGAGAGAGAGAGAAAGATAGAGAGAGAGAGAGATTCCACCAATATCGTATAAGAGGGGGTATCAATAGTGAATAAAGGGGGGCAACTCACCAGTACTGTATAAGGGAATATAAAGAAGCGCTAGTTAGAGCCAGGTAGACGATTCTCCAGCTGTACATACGAGTTAAATAAGCAATAGGTGCTATGGACATAACACATACACTCCACATTAACAAACCATAGAATCCACAATATCTTCTCTTTTCTTTAGGAAATATTTCAATGGCGTACGTTACTGCCGTTAATACGGTCCCCTGTAAACGATAAATAATCAAAACGATAAAAATGAAAAACAAATGGCTGTTAGTTTTATGACGTCCTCAAATGAGAGTACTAAAAGACGTTCCATAACTATAAAGTCTGGCCACAAACAGGATTATTATTAAAGTTGTTGTTATTATTCGTTGATAATATGTTATGCTTGAATTACACTGTCGATTTCTTGTACGATGTAAATGTATCGGGTAGTTTAAATGTAACGAGATACATATGATTAACTTATATTCGGAATAAATGAGATCAGATTTTCAAATTTACGATATAAAACGTCGATAGTGTAAATCCAGCGTAAGAATAATATTATACCTGTTGGACAATTCCATTGACAAACCTCATCACCACGAACACGGCATAGTTAGGAGCAAATGAAGCACCAATACCTGTAGCAAGACATCCCAAATGACTCAATACACAGATAGGTTTCCTACCATATTTATCAGATGCTAACGTCAGGGTAGACGATCCAACTGCCATACCAAGATTCAGCAGAGTTTGAGATAAATCTGAGAGAGCCGCTTGATCACATACAAGATCAAACTGAAAGCAGAGGAATCACATATTATAAAATTGTCATTGCAGTTACAAGGTGCCCGTGTACACACCAATGACAAGCTTAATCGCGTGTAAATCTTTTTATGTTGAGGGACTGACTAGGCGAATTTCGTTCACCGCCGCGCAATTCGTTAAAATTCTGCAATCGTAACATTTTCATCGGCCAGCATACGACAAAAAAGGTTTGAGGCGGTTCGTTGCTAAAATTCTTAAGAATATCATGCTTTCATTTCACAATGAGAAGCAGTTGTAGAGATAGTTTAGATTACTCAATCTCAAATAGTCTACGTTTCTCACATCATCAAAGTAGCAATGCTAGAGATAGTTCTATTTCATTGCCCCATTCGAAATAGTTTCGACGGCAACGAATACAAATATATTATGTACCAATTGGTGATAGCATAATAATGCGCATGAATCATAACATGATTTTATCATTGTCGCTATTAGCGCTGTACATCAACTCATGTTCACTGGGGCACGTTTTAAATATAAAATTCAGTTCCTGCATAATAATCAATGCATTCTTACTTCAGAGACAATGGACATATCCGGTGGATGTTCATACTGGTAACCATAGATACAGGAAGTAACGTTAGTTTCATTCTGACTCAAAATAGAACATTTACCAAATATGTCATCAGTTTGGTTGACGGGTAGATCCGGTGGCGCTGCACATTTCTGTGGATTTAGTTGACCTGTTGATAGAGTGATCAGATTTTGAAAACGAGAATGGTATATCATTACTAGAGGCTTGGAAAAGCGCTAGAACATAACCATAGCCAAATACAATATTTCAAGAATTTTGTTAAACACACTTTTATTTCTCCCCTTAATTGAACATAACTCACCTATAAATGCAATAACCAAGGCATGGTATGACGCAGACATCATAGTGAGGTAATAAAGGAAATATTTAGTTATCTGATATTTTCCACTACTTCCAAGACTATATAAAATATTATCCACATTAACCAAGCGTACATCCGTCGTTAAATTTAAATCACATTTAAAATCCTCCTCAATAACATTTTCATCAGCTTCTTCGATACCTCCAGAAACCCTGGGAAAGCAACCACAGCTTGCCATTTTAAAACGCGACATCGTCTTTGAGAGGTATATGGGCGCATATAATAATACGGTAAATTTTCAAGTCAAATTAAATGTTAAAATGGATGAACTTTTGACCATTATTGACTTTGTTATTAACGTGTCTGGTAGTTATCTTCTATAGTTATATGTGAGCAGCCATAAACCATACACATTACGTAATATGTATTCAGTCTGTTATTTATTGATATGATGATATGATTGACCATATTGGCCTTCGAGTCATGGCATATTGACAAACTTAAAGGAACGACACAGATTAAGAGTCATATTAGTGCAGAAATAACTCAAACAGCTGGTCTGAAAGTGTCAACTGGAACCATGGACACGTTCGGAAGTGATCGCTAGATTTGCTTATTCAAATCATTGAAAAGGCTTTATATAGATAAGTATGTGTAAAATTGAAGATTTGAGTAATAATTAATTGTTTACTAAAAGACTTCTAATACTCTTGAACTGAATAACAAAGTTGTCTGCGGAATTGTTTATAAAATCTTAAAAGTATTTTGCACGAACTGAAAACATCTCCTAGATTTGAAACACCTAACGATTGTATCATAAATAGGGGGTTTGGTGGCCGTATGGTTAACCCGTGCATGTTGGGTCAGAAGGTATGTCATTGAGTCAAGTGGCGTTGTTTCGAGTCACAGTAGGATCGCCTGTCCAACCTCGTGGGGTTTCTCCGGGTCCTCCCACTGCTAAAGACCCTGTGCGCAAGCGAATTATTGAAAAAAAAAGTGAACATTGTTAGTCCCAAGATGACTTAGTTTGTGTCATGCGGACGTTGGACTCCAAGTCTCTCTCTCTCTCTCTCTCTCTGTATCACAGACATATCTAACGGCGACGATTCTCAAATTGGCTTGGGAGCTACGGTAGCTCAGTGAGTAAGTCGTTGGCTCGCTAACCTGAAGGTCCCGTGTTCGATCCCTGCGTTGGCCGAGACAGTTCATCGGAATTTTCCGACGTCCCCCCCCCTTGTCAGTGGTGCTGGATGAAGGGCCTGGCAAGGGACAACATATAGTCATTCGGATGAGACGAATAACCAAGGTCCAGAGTATACATTGGTGTACACGTAAAAAAAACTCTTGGCAGTTGGAAATCGATATAAGAAAAGGCCATAGCACCGCTGCCCTGGAAAAAATTTCCGTCATAGCACACTGTATGGCGTATGGCCGTCTTCATTAGCCTAGTCGGAGCAGAACAGTAGGACGTTAAACCCCATTTCATTTCATTTTAAAATGGCTTTTACATACGTGATAAAAAGTGATGTCGCCTGTATATCTACACTGTAAAAAATATCCATTTTTGATGTGGCCGAATTCCGTAGTTTAACACCTTTTTTCTGTTAATCGAAGGATTTTTTGGTAAAATTGTGTTAAAAGCATGAATTATTTCTTCAAATTAGGTGTTTTATATATTTCTGTGGAATATTCAGTATTTAACAGGAACTTTCCGTGAAATTTAGGGATAAAATGTTTTATTCCCTTCTATAATGGACTTAATCCTGTTATTTTACGGAATAAACGGTGGAATGACAAGGAAGTTCCGTGAAATTTAGGGATAAAATGTTTTATTCCGTTCTGTAATGGACTTAATTCTGTTATTTTATGGGATAAGCGGTACAACGATAAGTAATCGTATACATATATAATCATTTATAATAATGATCATGTTATAGTATTCATTTCAATGGATTAACCATAATATGAAGAATCATATTTTGTAACGTTTGGTATATTAATTGAAATGTATATCTAATTTCCATTATTTATAAGATCTATAAAGTGTATTGTTATTCATCATACGGAAATCAGATTGTAAGTATTTTCATAAATATGTAAAAATATGTATTAATGCCTCGTGTGATAAGGTTGAAATATCTGGTAATCAAGCAGGCTTAAATCCAGATAGTACAACCCGTTGGCCAGTGTAAGTTAGGTTGTCTCTATAGCAGAGTCTACCACTGAAAGCCTCCAACCACTGACGAGTGGCTGGTGATACCTTGCTCTCGATTCATAAATTAGCGCAAAGAGGTTATGTTTAAAGATTATCTGCGATATCACTTCGGTTGAAGCGGACGTTAGATAAAGCTATTTGACGCACAGGTATAAAGTCAATGGTTAATTCAATGAACTTTTTATCATCTTCATACTCAGGAAAGAAAATTTACCAGGATTTTTTTTTCTGAATTTGAAAATGAAATTTATGTTAATTGAAGGAATTTCTGTAAATTACAGGAAAAACAAATACGGATAAAATTTTCCTGGTAATTTTTGTTTCCGGAATTTTTTACGTTTTTTCACGGAAATTTGTGTTACAGTGTACCTTTTTCTGGATTCTCTAGTTCCTATCACTGTTAAAGACCCCTATGCGCATGTAAAGCCCGGAATGACCAAGTATGTCCAGCGCAGACATTAACTGCTCGTTCTCGCTTATACACTTCAGTGCAGGTGTATTTCCCAATAAACGTTAATAAAGAAATACAAAACCAAACGAACATTCGTTTTAAAACATTTTATTTCAACAATTATTCAATTCGATCAAGATTAAGTGCGGGAGGACCGAATTACACGTAAACAACATCGAAAGGACAAACCTGCGGACAAGACACAGATTACACAGATACTGTAATCAATAAACAACAAAATTACAAAACAAGTGAATGGATCCGGGGGACATCCGTGCCTGTAATAATACAGACTTCACTCAAAATGAAAAACAAAACAATCATTTACAAGAAAGGGACAAATGCGATCGGTCTTGACGGTGGTCGTCTTCCGAATTCCATTTCCTAGTCGCGATATAACGTCAAAAAATTAACAATAATAAATGTGATAATCACGTCCATTTTGAGTTTACCTCGGTTGCTATCGATTTCACACTACCATCTTTAATTCTCTTAGACATATATAACGAAAATATAACGAACAAACCAGCCATTTCTTCATAAAGACCTTTTTCATTCTTGAGTGCGCTTAATTACATAAACCTCCAAGCAAGCTATGCAAGAACAAATGATATCATGATTTGAATGTAATTAATTTCAGACTCGCAACATAAATTCGCCATTTTCTGAAATTTAGACTTACCTATAAATACTATACTTAGTGAATGAAAAGCTTCAGAAAAATAAGTTAATGTGGATAAGAAGTACATCCACATTTGGTATTTCCCTCTACTTCCCAGGGCTACCAGTATCTCATCCACATCTACATCGCGCATATCCTTCATGACGTCCGATTACACAGCTTCACCTGCTCTCGGATGATTTCTTTTTTTATATCTCTAAATGCTTCCACCGGCTCCCCGAGAATGAAAACTGACGATACCAGAATGTTACCTTCTCCAAGACAAAATATAAATAGCCAAACTTAAATGGTTTCTTTTGGCGATTCTCTTGGGCAGATATTTCTTTTTATAGCAGTATGGTTCCACGGATTCCCCTTTTTAAAAAATTTCACCTTCTCTTAGTCAAAAAATTAGCCAACTTCACCTTCTGTCCGACAAATATTTCTTTTAATTATTATAGTCGATGATTCACGTCACGAAATCCAAGAATCCGTATAGTCAACCTTCCAAATTTTCCTGATCACAAGATCCTTATTTAAACAAATTGTTATTTCAAATACGTAATCTGGGTAGAGTATTATATAATGTTTCCAATTTAAAAGTTGGTGTTGTAGTCGGTTGATTTTGTTTGAAGTTACGTATAGAGCAGCGTCCTGCGTGGAGCTTATTCGCAGAACATACTCGTCCTTACAACACGAACTAAGGTGTCTCTGAAACTTTTATAATTACATATTTTAAAACCCTATAATTTCTTTATTCTCCCTCACACTTTGCTCTGACTAATCATAAATTGTCTTAACCTTTCTGTGACCTTTGTGCTAATCTTCCGTCCCCATAATCTACTACATAATCTACTACAGTTATCAGCCAATATGTTCAGGTCCGTATTCAAAGTAGTGGAAACAGCTTTTCTGCACAGGGTCCCAAAAATATGTATTAAAAAGTTTATTTTTGTTTAATTTCTAAGGATTTGTTTACGTTATGCAGATATATATTATGGATTCAAAAAGGGCTTGACCTTAAATTTAGCATCACAATTTTTATGAACATTCCATTTTTGTTTTGATTTGTTTTGTTTGAAATAGCTAAAATCAAACAATATAGAATGGTCAACAAGAATTGTCCCATTAATGTTTAAGACATTGAATGTTGAAGATATTCCTATTTATAAAACAAGGTATAAACATGCTAGGACATCAGCAGTAATAGCTAAAATAGTAAAAACTGTAATAGTAATGACTATAACAGTAATAACTATAATATGAACTCCTATTTGAATATATAATTAGCCCGGTCGGAGTAAAACAGTAGGACGTTAAATTTCATTTCATTTCAGATCAGATATGTTAACTCAGTGATTCTCAGCCAGTGTGCCGCGAAATTTTGAACGGCACAATAAGATAACGTGTAAAACCATGTGATCCTAATTGAGTATTCACTGATAAGTTCATAGCTGTGGGGTTTTTTTTATTTAGTTTGTGTCATTCTATGTGTCTATGACTACAAGTCTCTGTCTACGGTTTTATTCCGTCTGACTTACCATGTTTTTATTTTGCATAATTCAAATATTTTTTATATATATATTTAGCCAGGTGTGCCGCTATTTTTGCATGTGTTCCAAGGTGTGCCATTGGCAAAAAGAAAAGAGTTGAGAACCACTGTGTTAGCTATATTATGTTCTTGAAGGTATTCAATCTTACTGAGCTGCCTCGATGAAAATCAACAATGAAGACGAAGCTAAGTTTCAGTAGAGGATTTAATGCAATTATATCGAATTTAACAAAATAGAAACCAAGTCCAGACAACTATGGTAAAGGTCAATAGTAAATTCTTCATTTCAGTTGTTCATACAGCGAAACAAGTCAATATCTGGTGTAGAATCCGCCGGTATGGATCACCAGTTGCACTCCACTCCACATTGACTGAATAGGACGTTGGCAAAGGCAGTGTAACAATTGTGTGGCCTAGCGTTGCCGTCCATAAAGACATGCCGATTTGAGCTGATTACGAGCTTATGCTATAACTTGTCTGAAATTTCGTTTGTGGACCATGCAATAATATTAACCAAATAGTATAATATGTATAAGACAAAAGATGCATCTAATCCAATGATTCTCAGCCAGTGTGCCGTGAGATCTTCCTAAGTCTGCCGCGAAATTTTGAACGGCACACTAAGAAAATCGAAAAGCCACGTGATCCTAATTGAGTATTTACTGGTGTCTACTGGTATAAGTTCATAGCTGTGGGGTTTTTTTTATTCAGTTTGAGTCATTCTATGTGTCTATGACTAGTCTTTGTATACGGTTGTATGCCATCTATGACTTGCCACGCTTTGGGGATTGCAAAATTCAAATATTTTTCATATATATTTAGCCAGGTGTGCCGCTATTTTTTCACGTGTTCCAAGCTGTGCCGTTGGCAAAAAGGTTGAGAACCACTGATCTAATCAAGGTGGGGGAGAAGGCCGAATGATTTGCAGGTGGGGGAGAAGGCCGAATGGTTTGCGCGTGCCTGTTGTGTCATAAGGTCTGTCATTGAGTCAACTGGCGTGGTTTCGATTCCCTGGCTGTACGTGACAAAAATGAGTAGGGTCGCCGGGTCCTCATGTTTCCTCCAACTGCTAAAGACCCCTACACGCAAGCGAATTATGGAAATAAAATTGAACCATGTGTTAGTCCCAAAATGACCTAGTTTGTGTCGAGTGGACGTTAATCTCTCATCACATGGCATCAATCATTGGCTCGATAGCCCATGAAATGCTTCCACAAAGTGTACTGGTCCGGGCATAATGGTGCCTTTTGATCACTATGTATACTCCTTTACAGTAAATAGGAAATATTTTTATCACGATATAATTCAAACACATTTATTTATTTTTTACTTTAAAGAAATGTTCTTCTAGGATTTAAATTTGCAGAAAGAAAAAAGCTGGTTTATTGCGAGCTGATTAGCCCACGCCGATGTCATCCCCCTCAGTGATATTAGCGGCCTAGTGAATATTTACTGCTGATCAGTGTGAGATCGGCTCACAAGTCACACTGATCAGCAGTGAATATTCGCTAGGCATATTAGAGGACTCGTAATTCTCTGTAAAACAGATTGCTCACAAGTAATTAACGACAATTGTGAAAAGTAGACACTCCCCTTGAATGGTTAACATTGTAAATTATTGTGAACAGATTGTAATGTGGAATGTATCTATAATCCATATCAATGTATTACATCAGTCAATAAACTAGATTTAAAGGGGATAAAAAGAAAAACAATATTGAGAATGTGGAAAAACACGATTTTATGGAGTGGTAGTGCGATGTGAAATGTAGCTTTGGAAAAGCAGCAGCCGTATTTTATTTAAAGCAATATTTTTAATTCAGATTTGTATCTGAATATGGACTGGAGAACAGACATAGATTTAAACCCCTCTCTGTGATACTAGAATGGGATATGTAAGGAGTGAAGCTGAAATATTTTCAATTTCTTAAATAGGATATTGATACTGTGAGTTACCTTTTTTAAATCAGGGTCACAGAGAGGTAAAGTAGAATTGGTGGTTTGGGCATATTTTCGAAATTGGAGATATTGCCCAAGTAATGGCAAACCGTAGGTTGCCAAAATGGCAGCTAAGAGTTCCTCAGAATAATTTTGGTCTTTTTGGACGATTTTAATGCTAAATATATATATATGCTTTAAAAAATTAAAGGGAGAGCAGGAGTGGGTTTTAGTCTAGCTTTTATGATGTGAATAATTGTAAACCCAGGCATCAATTCCAAAGTTCCTGAATAATTTATGAAGGCATTAACTTACCAATAAAGACTATACTTAGTGAATGAAAAGCATCTGAAAAAAAAGTTAATGTGGATAAAAAGTACATCAACATTTGGTATTTTCCTGGGCTTCCCAGGGCATCCAGTACCTCATCCACGTCCACATGACGTAAATCCTTCATGGCGCCAAATTACACAGATTCGCCTTCTCTCGGATAATTGGGGGGGTTGTTTCTTTAAGACAATGTGTTTCCGCCCTCTCTAAGACAACAAATAAATAGCAAATCTCTAATTCTGTTCCTTTTGACGATTACATATCTCCCTCTTCTCTCGCGACAAACAATTACTTAATCGTAATAAAACACAATGTTGTCAGATTTCCACCTTCTCAAAGACAAAATTATTTCCACCTTCTCCAAGACAAAATGTTTTCCGGTCTTTAAATTGCTTTTTATTTTATATAGCAAATACGGCAAATGTTTCTTCAATTATTATATTCGATGATAATTATAGTGGTGAAATCCAAGAACTATAAATAAGGTGTTGCTATGCGGTAGGTTAGTACTATACCTCCACCATCCGCTTCGCAGTTGATAAGACTGAAGATTATAATAAGTAAAACTAAATCGTGGTCATTCATCATCTTATCTTGCCGCTTACATTACTTTTTTTTCATTTAAGTCAAGATGACTCATAAGTGGTTGCCAAGATACGCCCACATTTGCAAGCGATGGGCAGAAAACAAGCTAAAAAAGCGATTTTTCGTACTATAAGGGGACATAATCCAGGAAGTTATGGTCCGATAAGCGCGAATATCAAAAGGAATCGAAATCTCTGGGATATAGACATTCATCAAAATCAGATAATTCTGACCGCTAGAGGGTCCACAACCTTGGTATTACATACTTACATCTGGTTGGCTCTCATTTAATTTTGTAGTATATAGCCTAATAGCTGTGATGCTTAACTGTAGTTTGTCAGAGAAGATTTTGTAAGAAAAACTTTATTAAAATAACCAATCCCTTATGAAATTGGATGTCAATTGCTTTACAAAAAAATAAACTGGATCTAAATGAAGCATCCAAAAAATGGACTAATGTAAAGCAAAGTAAGATTTTGTAAGTTATATCACATTGCAGGCTATATTGATTTATTATAGCTGAGAAATAAAATTGTTACATGTGTTTCAATTTTCCATCATACATTTTTGTCTAATAAATATTCCAGTTGGCCATAAGATACATAAAACCAGCGGCTGCCCGGCAGGATACGCCCACATTTTGCAAGAGATGGATAGAGAACAAGCTAAAAACAAAAATGATTTTTTGTACAATCAGAGGCCATAATCCACAAAGTTATGGTCTTAAATGCGCAAATATCAAAAGGGATTGAGATTTTTGGAATATAAAGATATGTTTTAAGTATCATCCAGAGGGTCCATTACCTTTGTATTACATACTTATACACAATTTGCGTACAAAGAGCGGCCATTTTGTCGGGCAGTTTCATTTCGATTTTCCTGAAATTCCAATTCAACCTTCATTATGGTGGAATGGTGATATATCTAAACGGTTTTTAAACAAGCTAAAAATGTGATTTTTCGACCAATCAGGGGCCATAATCCATAAAGTTAAGTTCGGATATGTGTGATTATCAACAGGAACCAAGATCTTTATGATAAAAACATATATGTAAAGTTTTATCCAAATCGGATAAAAGATATACCATATTTTTACACTATTTGCTACAATTTTTGTCCGATTTTCACGAAATTTCAACTCAACCATCATTAGTGTATAACTGTGATATATTCACACGTTTTATTTTTATAAATCGAATAAAAATTGTCGGGTTTTATTTGTTTGTGTAATTCCTCCAGGTCCCCAGGTCCCCCCCCCCCCACTGCAAAAGAGCTCTACAA